CAAATCAGTTCATTACTTAAACATAAGTTTAGTTAACTTAACTGAAATATAAATTAATTGTAATTTAGGGGTACAGAAATGATAGCATTGTATTTGTTGCAGGATTATCAAAATCGTCGTTTCGCAACGAATCATTGGTAGAGCGAGCGACAGCAGTCTACAAGGATGGTAATAATAGTAATGAAACGGTTGAAGATCAACCGTTGGATCTGAGCTCACGTCGTGCTCTTCAAACAGCTACACAATGTGCTGTATCATCCGCTCATAACTCTCGGGATGGAAGACGATTGCGCGCATTAATCAATGTTATCTCTGATAAATCATCCAATTCTCTTTCTAAGTATGTAGAACAATTTTTTTTTTAAATCATTCAAATTTCTCCTCTTTTAAAATTGTGGAAATTTATCTTAATTCATCTTAACTTTTCAAAAATATCATACTTGCTTAAAAGTATTACGTATCATTCTATTAATTGTAGTATTAGAATTTTCTTACCAATTAACGTATTAGCTAAGTAATTAATTTTTCTAGTAGCTGGAAGTCAGTGAATCAAATAATTAATTGCCTAAGATGAAAATTATTTACTCTTCTTTTATTTATTGATAAGCAAACAATTCAATTTGTTAGCAATCTAATAGATGAAAGTTAATAAATTCAATTGTAAATATCACTTTTATGGAATTATTAATAAATCTTACAGGGAAGAGGAAAATAATTCTGTAATTAGTCATGCAAAAAATACCATTGGAACAAAAACTATCCATCCATCAATAAGTAAAAGAAATTACACTCAAGCGGATTTGGATGCTGCTGTAAAGGATATCCGATGTGGCCGTCTTGGAACACGACGAGCCAGCGTGGTTTACGGAATACCAAGGTTATTATCATCTTTTTTTATATTAATTTTTTTATTGATAATAATGAAGAAAGAATTAAAAAATAAGTAAACAAAAAATTTAGCTGTATAATATTAAAATTGAAAAATACAATCAATTCTGCACAAATTTGAAAAAAAAAAA